AGGAGAGCCACAAATAAGAACCTACAAAATGGAAAAATACTCCAACCTGTATAGAACCTGAATAGATTGGGGGAAATACCATATTTAGGGGTTCTAGAGACTATGTACATAGTGGTTGACAATAGATGTTTTAAAGCCAGACTGCCTAAATTCAAAACTGCCTAACTTCAAATTTCTGCTTCACCACTTTTTCCTTGGGTATTCTTGAGCGTCACTTTACCTTTCTGTGTTTCAGCTTCCTATTAAATTGGGATAACAGTACTACCTCACAGAGCTATCATGAGACTTGAACCTGTTAATGCATGTGAAGCACCTGAAACGGTGTTTGGAGCTTTAATAAGCTTAGTAAGTAGCTGACAAAAAATAGGAAAGGGTGATAGGCAACTTAATACATATTCAAATATGAAGATCTTTATGTAGATCTTTTCCATCTATATGGTAGACGAAATGCGAGGAAGTCCACTTAAACTATGAGAGATTGATTTTCTAAAAACTGCCCATCAAGAATAACTACTGAGTCAATGTTCTCTGTAAGGAGCTGCATAACATGGAGAAGATTCCCAAGTTTAGCCTAAGAATGGTACTCTCTAAAATTGGGGTGGGGGGGGACAAACTTAAAAAATCAAATTTGAATCAGGTACATAGTCTCCTACCACTACACTTGCCCGACACAGTTTGAAAACTAAAGAAAGCTCAGTGTTCTTTTGAGGGACTTAAAACAAATTAATAACAGCCATTATATATTAAGATAGTACCTGCGGTTTTGGGAACTGTTCCCTTTTTTCAGCATAAAAAACGCAGAAGCAACGGGAAGAAATCAGAACACATTTGTATCAGAGCCACACCAAGGACTTCCTTAGGCCAAATTTCTCTAGACAGAGCCATGATCAAGACCCAGATTTTAAAATTTTAATAGTGTTTCCATCATTTTATTTCATTTTTTAAAGTGAAAATGAAATGAAATAACCAGCAGCATCACGTCATATAAAGGTCTTTATAAATTTGAAGATGTTTTTAGTTGTCCCTTAACCCTACCTGCCCACTTGTTGGCCTGACTTCGGGAGAATGCCATTCCCCATTCCCACCCCATGGTCCGTGTTAAAGGAGGAACCGAGGCATCTTTGTTTCATTATATATTCTTTTCAGGGATCATCCATACAGAGCCAATCAAATTCATCCTCTTGACATGGTTCAGTCACAAAGGCGAGGTTACTAAGGAGAAGCTAGCCAGGAGTGGAGAGGCAGAGGGAATGGCAGCTGATCTGTCAATCAACAGTCCTCTCCTTCCCAGTCTCCGGTCTTGGAGGCTGAAATGCTTTCTTACAACACCCACCCCACCCCTCCTTTTCTCTTCTGGTTAGACAGGGTATTTTACCATCAAACAATTCCTGACTAAATACGTGTCTATCTCTACTTCAAACTGCTAAAAGTCAACAAAGACATACAGAGATTAAGAGTTTAGTCTACCACTGTGTACTCAGTATTTGGGGGAGAGAAGATACAGGGGCAAAATTGAATGAAGAGGTATTTTTAGTAGTACAGCCCTTTGAAAAGACCTCTACGAGGTATTTTTTCTAATATTCAATTAACCATACCTTGTCATTTCTACCTAAATATTTTTTCTCATCCGTCTTCTCTCCACACCTATTGCCTGCCATCTCTTATTTGGACTATACTACTCTCTTAGGCAATATGAGATGTAAGGAAACTTGCTTTTTAAAAGAAAACTCAAATTCCAGATCTCAGCATAAAGACCTCATGGCCTCCCAGTTTTGTCTCTTACCATTCACCTTGCCCTTGGGGATCCCTCATTAATAATCCTTGCTTCCACAGGAAGTGGAAGTGCCAGTACCCCATGGCATCAGTCCTCTACCTTAAATTACTCATAGCACTACTGAATTGAGGTTGAAGTAGTTATATAGCTTTAGAAAAAGGCTCAGGAATAACAGGAAAAAGCAAATAAAGTACTAAGATGCAACGTACCTATTTTAGCTAACTAGATAGGCTGTGCAGTTTTTATTCAACAAGTATTTGAGCAGTCTGTGGTTATCACTGTGCATATATCGAATACAGTCTCTTGCTCTCAAGAGGCATATGGTAGTGCAGAGTGAGCTAACTGCTGTGTCAGGGGTAATATACGATGAATGAGAGCATAAAAAAGAGGCACCTAAATCAGTCTTGGGGGAAGGAGACTAGTGAAGGTTTCAGTGAAGTTCTGCCTAAAAAACTGAGTCCTGAAGAAAAAACAAGTAAGAATTAGCAAAGCATAAAATTGGGGAAAGGGAGAGGGCAAGAAAGGAGGAAATATTCCAGACGTGTCTAAGAATGGGCAAAAGACAAGAGTTCAATATGTAAATGGTGAGAGGTTTCTGCCTATTTATGCTCAGGTGACAGGCTATCTTCCCTACAATCCCCAAGAGCCTGCCTGCAAGCAAACCAGAACTTCTCTGAACCTAGGCCAAAGAGAGAAAGATATTCAAGGCAGGAGTTTCCTTTTAGTCGATGGCAACCTTCTCGGCTTGTTTTCCAACTCAGGACTCACATCTTCTTTCCAGGTGGCTAATGCCAGTAGAATCCTCTGTAAGATTTTACTCTATGACCTTGATAGAGACAATATAGCAGAATAGTCCATTATCTGTTCAATAGAAATGCTTCCTTACATTGCCAACATAAAGGCCACTTTCCAAAGACCTAAGATCAAAGGGAAACTGGATTTTGTATCTTTAGGCATTAACTAATGGCATGAACTATGCAAACAAGTTACAGTTTTCATAGAATGAAAATCAAGTTTACTTCCAACCTTTGTTTTGAGAATTGGAGGTTTAGAAAACCTCCCTAAAGATAATATAAGAAAGTCATTAAAGGAAGGGAAGCAAATTAAGTTTCTAGAAATCTGTAAGACCGGTACTGTGTTGTGGTTTTCCCTGGGCCAGTGTTGCCACCCAAAGTCACAATGTGCCTGATTTCTAGAAACCCTAGCTCCTATTTTCAAGCTGATGACTTACTAAATTTTCCCTTCACCCTACGTTATTCAGGGTAATAACATAAACAGAAAACAGGATGTTTTAGGCAGCATCAAAAATACAATGTTCTCAGGGTGCCTGGGTGGGTCAGTCGGTTAAGCACCCAATTCTTAATCTCAGCTCAGGTCTTGATCTCAGGGTTCTGAGTTCAAGCCTGACATTGGGCTCCATGCTGGGCATGGAGTCTACTTAATGAATAGATAAGTACATACATAAATACATACATATATACATACATAAATTAAATATAGATAGATGTTCTTGAGCATGCATTCTCAGTGGCAACAAATACTGGTTCTTGGAGGGCAAAAAATCTTACTCTTATGTATAAAGGACAAAAATATAGTCCGTAAACAGATATACAGTATATGTGTGGTATTAGAATTTCAAGGGGGTAGACAATTAGGAAAAAAAATATCTAAAAAGGCTCTTTAGCAAGGTGAGAAGGAAAAATTTGAGAAACACTGCTGTAGATACTTTTGCCAAGTCAGGAAAACCTAAGTTAATTCCAATATCGTGGTAATTCAAATACCAGCATGAAACAGAAAACCATGGTGATTATATTTTTAAACAATGTATTTGTGAATGGCTCCAGTTCTTTGGCCTTTGTTTCTCTTAGCAGAAGTTACTAAAATTGTTCAAGTGTAAAGAAAACTCTAGGATTAACTGGAAAAAAAAAAAAAAGGTTTATGAATCATTAAGTTTACAACACAGAGTACAAATCAAGAAAGTAAATTTATTTAAATTACTAAAATAGCTTCTAAAGTCATTTACAGATCAGCTACTACAATTATTTTTTCTTGAAAGATATTAAGTAACATTAATTTCTTTAAAATTATTTTGGTCAGTGAAACATTTAATAAAAACATTTGTTTCTCCATATAATATATGTGTATAAAATAAGCCTTTTCAAAAACTCTTGTTTTAGAATCCTCTATAAATCAGATGGCCTGACTTGTGACAGTCAGGAGCAAATTTCAATAAAGGGTATAAATTTATGAATAGTGGTTGTCCTAGTTGGAAGAAACCAGACCACACTCCACTATGAGGCATGGGATCCTCAAAAGGTAAATGATAAAGCCAATGACTGCCTCTAGTATTCTAAAAACAGTATTTTCACTTAAAAACAAAACAAAACATGGTAGATCCGGAATCTTAAGATTTTGAGAAAAACAACGGAGGCGACAGATTTTGAGAAAGCTCAGTTACAGAAGCAAAGTGACACTTGAAATGCAACAGTAGTACAGGAATGCACAATAGTACATTTCAACATTCTTCACATATGGTCAAGTTCATTTCCTTTTGGCTTGAGGCACTCTTAATAAAATTTATCACATGCATAGTAAATCTTTACATTTGTCATAAGAGTAACATTAAAGGACTTAGGACTGCACGCAGAAAATCAAATCCTTCTTCGACAGTCCAGTACAGACAGTCCTGGCTGACTGATGGTTTAACAATTCCTGCAACTATATTTTCTGAGTTCAAAATAAAGGCTTCAGGATATGTCCAAAATAAAATGCTCTGAATTGACCACACCCTTCAGAGTCAAATGAACAAATACACTAAACCTTGTAATATACATGCTTCAAAATCCTTGGGAGGACCAAAAATTTCCTAAAGGAGAAAAAGGAGATGTGAAAAACAAACCCCAACAGAATTCACTGATAATGGAGTTTATATGACTATGCCTGACTGACCTAAGTCTCAGTGGCTTATTTTAAATTTCATCTTGAAGACTTTTTTCCCCCCTTTCCTTCCTTATTCCACAATTTCTCTTTTCCCTAGCCCCCTTCTCCTGCCCTCCAAAAACAAAGAAAAAAACAATCCATACACACACTCAGGTGACCTTTCATTACTCTTATTCCTATGAGGGGAAGCTGACTAAGGAACTTGCACCTAAATGATGTAAAAGAGAACAAAATGGGAAAACCCACAGTTGCATTTAGAGAGCTGCCTTACTAATAGCAAACTCTGTGAAAAATCTAACTTAAAAAATTGAGAGGATTCACAGGAAGGAGCCCAATCCCCCCCAGCCTGGTCTGGTCATACCATAGCAATAAAGTTTCAACCCCGAATCTAAAGGGATCCTCTATGGGACTGCATGTAATTTATAGTCCTCAGAGATCATTAACACAGATCTCAGTGGAAACAGGGAAATGATTCTCTCAAGTAACAGATACTTAGGTTGAATAAATGATTTAGATGTTCTATGTTTACATAAGAACTTAATTTCCTTTAAAAAGAAACCAGTTCTTTCAAAAAGAGCTCTGAATCCCGTCTCTGGCTAGAAAGTCTGAAAAATTCTCAGAACTTGAGACATGATTTTGTCATCTGTCACCCTTTATAAGCAGATGCCACTTTTCAGGGCATTTTCAGGTTGGACAGGCAGGACCAAGTGAGAAATACGGCTCCAGAGCCCGCTCAATTTGTCTGGGTCCATATGTTTGCTGGAGTTGGGTGTGTCAGAGTTGGTGAACTTGACTTTGAGGAAATCTCTCACTTTTTCTTCAATTTCCTTTAGGCCTAGACTGGTTCCCAGTGTCTCTTCCTCCAACAAGACAGTCAGGACTAAGGCTACGTCTTTGAAGGCTGCATTTTCATGGTCACAATATTTATAGAAGATCAAAGTAGAGCCTGCAGGCAGGGACTCAAAGCGGTGTACCACAGCAGCATTCTGGCCATTCTTGAATCCATTGCTCAGTTCCCAATCTACCTCTTGTTTGACAATATCGCTGTCTTGAGTAGCTTTGCCTGCCCCATCAATCCGGATGGCACGGACACTCCGGAAAGAAGAGTAGGCATCAGCAATTTGTTCGCTCAGACACCTGAGCACTTCTTCAGCATCCCGAGCAGCGGCGAGCAGCAAGATAGCAGGCTGAGGCCGAGGTTGGGAGCTATTAAGATGTTTTTCCAGGAATGTAAGGCTCCTTCTCCACAGCTTCTCATCTTGACCTTGATACTTAGTCATTAGTTGTCTCATCTGGTTCTGGAACTCTTGAACAGCAGTGGTTTCTACTTCAGGACTACGAGGGAACAAAAAACTCCAAACAGCCAAAAAAACCATGAAAATGGGTAGACACCACCACAACTTGAAAAAAGATGCACTTTTGGGTTTTTTGGGTTGTCCAGTCACTTCTGCTCAGGACAGAAAAAAAAAAAAAAAACCAGATTCAAATACCATTTTCTTGGATTCAAGAACAAGTGACTTTTAAAATCAGTACTAATCTTCACAAACATTAAATAAAAGAGGAAGGAATTTAAAGAATGGAGCTGGTAATTTACTTTCTTAAAGAAATGTTCATCACATGTATTTAAGAAAATCTCACACCCATAGGTTTTAGTTGTATTATAAGTATGTATGTGTCTCTTCAATGTCAAAATGATAAAAAGCCTTAGAGGAAAAAATAGAATTCAAAGATATGAAGTGACATAAGCAAGTCAGAAATAATATAATTTATAAAGCAAAACTATTATTACTACTGCTAATATTTGGGAGGCAAACAATAATAAAAGTCACTTGATAAAATATTTTTAAATTTAGATACCCAGAATTCATACAGCTTATTATCCAAGGTGGAAGGTTTCTGAAGTATGTAAAGGGATTGAAAAAGGATGCACTGTAAGTTGAACATCTTCCATATATTATAATAGCTAGCTGTCCCTTTAATTGCACTGATGCCCACCTTTTGTGGAATGCAAGTTAATACCAGTAAAATTGAGTATGCATTTCATCCCTAATTATCATTGGCAATAATGATACCAATTTACATTTATCTAGTGCTTTTCAGTTTATAAGCACATTGTCACATACCACTTCATTTAATAGGATAGCAACAATACTTTTACCCCTTCCATTTTATTTGTACTATGGACTTTTTAGAGCAATAGTTCTCAAAGTGTAATTGCTGGGTACCTCAGGATCCTTCCAAGAGGGTCCTTGAGGTTAAAGCCAGTCTCTTAACACCAGGATGTTATCTGACTTTTCCCAGCATGTTGACATTTGCATTGATGGTGCAAAGCCATGGTGGGAAAAACAAATGATACCTTAGCATGGACCACAGGGCAGTGCTAATGTAGTCTTTGTGTTCACAGCCATGCATTTAAGGCTATCAGTGAAACTGTTTCATAAAGCAGTTAAAATTATTCATCTTATTAAAATTCAACCCTTGAGTACAAATCTCAATAGAGTATATGAAGAACTGGGAAATATACATAAAGCACTTCTGATACCTATAGCACAGTACAGTTTTCTCAAGGAAAGGAATTTTGTGCAACTCAGTTGAGCTGAACTAGTACTTTTAAGAACAAGTGACAAACTATGGTTAGACTTGAGTATTTGGCAGACATTTTCTTGAAAATGAACAAAGTGAGTCTGTTGTTTCTAGGAAAACAACTGACAATATTTGTTGCCAATTATAAAATTCACGGTTTAAAGTGAAAATTAGGATTGTGGAAATACTGTATCTGCCACTATAAGCTTGACAGCTCCTGAATCCTTAAAAACTTTTAGAGAGATTGGTGGTGATATTAACAAATGTGGTCTTTTTATACTATATTAGAATGTGTCAATGAGATTGGTGGTGATTTTAACAAATGTGATCTTTTTAGACTGTATTAGAATGTGTCAAAATTTGGAAGATCTACAGAACTTAGTGAACCTTTATTTTCCAAATGATCAGTGCATGATATTCCATTCAAAGTACAAGAAAGACCAATGGATTTTAATGTAATAGAACACAAAAAGTTCATTAATTTGGTTTCAGATCTCACATTTTAAGTAACTTGTTGAGTTTTGGACAGTATCAAAAGAGAATATCCAAAATTATCTTTAGACTATTAATTAAAAAATCTGTATTATCTGTATAAAGCTGGATTTTTGTATATACTACAACCAAAACAATATATTGTAACAGATTGAATACAGAAGCAGATATGAGAATCCACCTCTATTTTATTAAGCCAGACATTAAAGAGATTAGAAAATACAAGCAATTTGTCACTATTCTTACTAAATTTTTTAAAAATAAATAGGTATTTTAAAAATGTTTCAATTTTAATTTCTAGGTAAACATGGATAGGTATAGCCCATACTAAAAAAAAAAAAAAAAAAAAAAAGCTCTTTTAGGTACTAATTTTGCTAGTAGAAAGTGGTATTGAGACCAAAGTGAGAGTCACTGTGAAGTTATTTTCTTAGTACTCATTCGGGATAATAAATAGGCTTAGAGAATTAAAGAAGTTTGCTGCAAGGCTATAACAGAAGGTTAAGTGGTCCAATCTAATCCAAATACAGGTCTGTGGACTCTAAAACCCACGGTAAACCTATTACATCATGCAATGTGCCATCTTTCTTTTGACTCAGCAAGGTTCAGCTGGTTATTGGTATTAGTAGTTCTGCTTATTAACTTTTACTTTTGGTCTTATGGCTAATTAAGTGAAGGGGAAAACCAGATGTTGTTTCATACAGTTTGTCCTTAAAGAATTTCACTGCTAGTAAAATATATACTTTTTCCTCTTAAGTGCTTAAAATATAATTTTTCAAAAGCATTGTTTATTTGCAGTCAAAAAAATTTAAAACAATTATGAATGACCAATTTTAGAAACTCACTTAATAAAAACTGAATAAGCAAACTTACGTTGGCTGGAGGTTGATGGAGACCAGTTTCCAAGCTCTGATTTCTGACTGCTGTCATCTAATGATAGGAGTAATAAAGACTATCAATTTATGGTTCATAATTTAAGTATTTCCAACAGAGAAAGAAAACACAAATTCCACCAAGAGAATATAAGGCAGAAATCAGCCAGAAATAGAAGAAAAAGTAGAAGATCTAAGTGCCCATTAGACTGACAGCTCCTTGAGACTTAAGAGTTATTTCTTTCATAATTATTCACAGCATGCCATGGGGTCTAGTATAAAGCATACTCTTAATACATTTGTTTTGTGAGAAAGCCTTAAAGTATTTGACCCAAATTATTTAATGAAACTAGTGAAACTTACGGCACAAAGTTAAGAGAAGAAAATAAGCACAACTAAAAGAAAAGAAAACATGTTATACCATCGGAAAAACTGCCATATATTGAACTCTTGCTTGGTGATGATGCTGTAAGAGGGAAAAAAGGACAAAATATGGATTATGGATTACTGAGCTACCTGGATAAGGGGTTTTAAGGTAAAATGCAATGTTAATCCTATTCTCTACCTCAGACTGATACAAATATTTATTCTGGTGCCTCTGATCATTTCAAATATCAGTAATATTTTTTTAATTATATTAAAAACTCTTCACCATTTCTATTAATAGACGATTCTGTTTTATTTAGGTTTGTGGTTAAACCACAGATTTCAAAAATAATTTTCTCTCATGATTCCACCAAATCTCTATTTTTTTTTTAATAATTTTTTTATTGTTATGTTAACCACCATACATTACATCATTAGTTTTTGATGCAGTGTTCCATGATTCATTGTTTGTGCATAACACCCAGTGCTCCACGCAGAATGTGCCCTCTTTAATACCCATCACCAGGCTAACCCATCCCCCCACCCCCCTCCCCTCTAGAACCCTCAGTTTGTTTTTCAGAGTCCATCGTCTCTAATGGTTCGTCTCCCCCTCCGACTTACTCCCCTTCATTCTTCCCCTCCTGCTATCTTCTTCTTCTTCTTCTTTTTTTTCTTAACATATATTGTCATTATTTGTTTCAGAAGTACAGATCCGTGATTCCTCAGTCTTGTACAATTCACAGTGCTCACCATAGCACATACCCTAAATCTCTATTTCTATCATTATTTTAGCAAACAAAAACTATCCTAACTTTTTACTTTTCCCCTCCATCCTTCTTGGTATGACCACAGATTTTAACATAAAAGAAACAAGAAATTGAAGGACAGGGTTCAGAAGGTGGAGAGGCTGAATTACTAATTCGTATGACCTACTTTTACCAATACTGCCATGTATTATTTGCCTGGAGTTTTATAACTTATGTATCTATAAATGACCTTCCTGGTGTTTAGCAAGAGCTTTCATTTGAGAAACACTGGACTAAACTAGAGGTGTAAAATTAGCACTGCTAAGATATAAAAATAGTCTTATTTTTGGTCATATGATCAAAAAAACCTCAAATGAAACAAAATGACATCAACCTTCATTCTAAAGGCATATTGTTTTACAATTACTGGTTTAGCCTAAGAAATTACATTATTTAGAAACTTCTAAGTTAGGTCACCAAAGTTAACAAGTATATTACTAAAACAAACAAATTCCATCAAGTGATGTTTATCTTGAATACTTTACTCTATGGTTGCAAAGATCAAATGAAATAATATATAATATTATAATAATACATAACTATAATATAAAACTATAATACTATAATTATTATATAAAAAGATCAAATGAGGTAATTTTTTATGTAACACCTAACTACAATATATAACTATAATAATACATACTATACTTATCATATAACATTAGTTATAGTTATGTAACAAATGTAATATTTACATAACTCAGAAAACATTTTAAATTTTAAAATTAAATTAAGAAAATAATCCCATTTACAATAGTATCAAAAAGAATAAGATATTTAGGAATAAACTTAACCAAGGAGGTGAAAGACTTGTACACTGAAAACTATAAAACACCAATAAAAAATTAAAGCAGACACAACTAAATGGAAAGATACCCATGTTTGTGGATTGGAGAATTAATATTCTTATAATGTCTATACTACCCAAAGCCATCTACAGATTCAGTACAATCCCAATCAAAACTCCAGTGGCATTTTTTACAGAAATAGAAAACAGTCCTAAAATTTGTATGGAAACACAGATTCCATAAGATTCCAAACAGTCAAAGAAATTTTGAATAAGAACAAAGCTGGAGGCATCACACTTACTGACTTCAAAATACTTTATAAAGCTAGAGAATCAAAACAGTATGGTACTGGCATAAAAACAGACATAGAGACCAACGGAGGAGAAGAGAGTTCAGAAATAAATCCACGCAGATATGGTCAGCTGATCCCTAACAAGGGTACCAAGAAAAAACAATGGGGAAAGGGCAGTATCCTGAATAAATGGTGCTGGGAAAACTGGATATCCACAAGCCAAAGAATGAAATTGGACTCATACCATATACAAAAAATCAAAATGGATTAAAGACTTAAGCATAAGAACCAAAAGTATAGGGGGTGCCTTGATGGCTCAGTCGAGGAGTATGTGACAATTGATTTTGGGGTCATGAGTTCGAGCCCCATGCTGGGTGTGGAGATTGCTTAAATAAATAAAACTAAAAAAAAAAAAAAGAAAAGAAAACCCAAACGATAAAACTCCCAGATAAAAACACAGGGAAAAAGCTTCCTGATACTGGTCTTGGCAATGATTTCCCGTATATGACACCAAAAACACAGGCAACAAAAGCAAAAATAGACCATGGGATTACAGCACACTTAAAAAACATGATGAGCTACATGATCAAAATCATAGTAAGATTCACCTCACACCTGTTAAGATGGCTATTATCCAAAAAACCAGAGCAAGTTATGTACAGAGGATATAGAGAAAAGGGAACCCCTGTACACTGTAGGGAGGAATTTAAACTGCGAGAGCCACTATGGAAAAGAGTATGAAGGCTCCTCAGAAACTGAAGAATGAAACTACCATATGATCCAGCAATCCCACTTTTGGATATATACCCAAAGGAAATGAAATTAGGATCTTGAAGAGATATCTGTGTGCCCATGTTCACTGCAGTAATATTCACAATAGCCAAGACATGGAAGCAACCTAAATGTCCGGTGATGGACGAACGGATAAAAAAATGTGGCATATACAGTTAATCCTTGAACAATATTGGTTTGGACTGTGAAGGTCCACTTACATGTGGGTTTTTTTTTTTAAAGATTTTATTTATTTATTTGAAAGAGAGAGACAGCAACAGAGAGCACAAGCAGGGAGGAGAGGGAGAAGCAGGCTCCCTGCTGAGTAGGGAGCCCAATGTGGGGCTCGATCCCAGGACCCTGGGATCATGACCTGAGCCCAAGGCGACGCTTAACTGACTGAGCCACCCAGGCGCCCCTATATGTGGATTTTTAAAAATAAATACATTGGAAAATTTTTTAAGATTTGCAACAATTTGAAAAAACTCATAGTCGAACTGCATAGCCTAGAAGTATTTTAAAATATTAAGAAAAAGTTAGGTATTTCACGAATGCATAAAATATATATAGATACTATTTTATCATTTGCTACCATAAAATACACACAAACTACAAAAAGTTAAAATTTATCAGAATTTACGCACACAGACTGAACATGGTGCCATTCGCAGCTGAAAGAAACGTAAACAAACATAAAGATGCAGTATTAAATAATAATTGCATAAAATTAACAGTAGTATATACATGCCATAGTTGTTACAGAAAGAGCCATCAAACCCAAAACAATAAATTCCTGGAGAAAACTGTCCAGATGTGTATGACCTCACAGGATTTACAAAACAGCCAATCAAAGAAATCAGGAAAGAGATCATGATTATGGCAAAAAAGGTAGGGGGTGAAGGGTTTCAAGATATGGATCTTAGATTTCAAGATATACTAAAAAGCTGTAGTAAACAAAACAGTATGGTACTGACACAAAAACACACATATAGACCAATAGAACAGAATAAAGAGACCGGAAATAAACTCATGATTATATAGTCAATCTTCGACAAAGGAGGCAAGAAAATGCAACGGGAAAAAGTCTCTTCAACAAACAGTGTTGGGGAAACTGGACAGCTACATGCAAAAGAATAAAACTGGACCACTTTCTCATACCATATACAAAAATAAGTTCAAAATGAATTAAGGACCTAAATATAAGAGCTGACACCATAAAAATCCTAAGAAAGAGCACAGGCAGTAACGTCTCTGACATCGGCCGTAGCAACATTTTTTTCTAGATAGGTCTCCTGAGGCAAGGGAAACAAAAGCAAAAATAAATTATTGGGACTCCACCAAAATAAAAAGCTTCTGCATAGCAAAGGAAATCATCAACCTACAGAATAAGGGAAAATATTTGTAAATGATATATTTGATAAAGGATTAGTATCTAAAACAGAGAAAGAACTTCTACAACTCAACACACACAAAAACAAATAATCCAACTAAAAATGGGAGACATGAACTAGATATTTCTATAAAGAAGACACACAGATGGCAAACAGACACATGAAAAGATGCTCAGTATCACTCATCATTAAGAAAATGCAAATCAAAACCACAATGAGGTATTACCTCACACCTGTCAGAATGGTGAAAATAAAAAACACAAGAAGCAAGTGTTGGCACAGATGTGGAGAAAAATAATCCTCACTGAACTGATGATAGGAATGCAAACTGTTGCAGCCACTGTGGAAAACAGTATGGAGGTTCCTCCAAAAATTAAAAATAGAACTACCCTACAATCCAGTAATTCCACTATTGGGTATTTACCCAAAGAATATGAAAACACAAATTTGAAAAGATACACGTACCGCTATGTTTACTGCAGCGTTATTTACAATAGCCAAATTATGGAAGCAATCTAAGTGTCCATTGATAGATGAATGGATAAAGAAGATGTATATATGTGTGTGTGTGTGTTTGTGTGTAAAAGAACGAAATCTTACCATCTGCACAACATGGATGAATCTAGAGGGTGCAATGCTAAGTG